TGTGATGGGAAAGTGTTGTATTGTAAAGTACCATAATGCACATCTGTTTGATTATGTATGGTATTCTAATGACAGCAGCCTGGACACATGTCCTGGATGCTATAATAGATCTCAGGTATACACTGTTCTGCATGTGCTCTGTCTGTTTGTTGTGTTTACTGGCTCACTGCATCAGGACAGGAGAAAGTAAGGAAATGGTTCTGTTTAAATTCCAGATGTAATCCATAATAATTGAAGCTTTTGTGGTTTCCACCAAGTTTCATTTCACACTCACAGTTTCACAACTGTTTCAAACATCTTCAGGAATCACGCCCTGACACATTTGCGCTCACGCACAATATGAACATGAGGTATCACTTAAGTGTGGTGTGTATTTTGTTGGTTTTTTTCACAATGTTGACGATATGTTCTGTGTCTTCATTACATCTCTGAGGCTTTTTGTTCTCAAATCTGTTCTAAATTGAAGGACACAAGCAGTTTCTTCTCTGTGCACATGAAGTGGTTTGTTAAGTAATGCATTTGTCATCCACCATATGGTAAATGGCCCGATCATAACACCCTTCTTCAATCAACCTTTTGAGATTTACGTGTTTTGGCGTCAACAGCCTTAAGAAGACAAAGGCAGGAAAGAACATTTAAAATGCCTCGTGAACACGCACTGTGCTCAGTGATAGAATCAATTGTGGTGACAAAAATAGACTTATTGGATCTCAAGTGTGTGGGTCATTTAAGGCTTTTTGTATGACGTATTGAAGATCTCTGCCAGGGAAGATTGGCTTGACTGTTGTTGGGTGAAGACAGAAAGCCTGGGTACGTTTTTTCAGTGCTACCTACACACACGTGTCCTGGATTTGGGTATGTACCATTATCAAGTCGGTAAACTGCATACCTCCCTGTGAGGAAGAGACTAGAAGTCATTCTTTCACGTATAAGGTTTGATTTAGTTATAGTAAAGCTTTTAACTCTTTGTTACTATGTTGGAAAAAATATCCACTTTCTTTAGATAAATCTATGAAAAATGTCAACGATAACACAGTTTGACATTCATAAAATAGTATTGTTGCACCAATAAGGTGATTCCCAAAGAGCCATTAACTGAAAACCTGGCATACTTCGGTGTCAGGGGAAGGATGGCTGTCCAGAAGCCATTACTGAATGGAAGGGAAACAGGGGAAAAAACCCTGATGTATGGCAAATTACACAAACACTGAGCTGAAAAGATCTTATGGAGTGATTAATCCAAATTTCACCTTTTTATTTCATATCATTGTTAATATCATTAACAGGGGAAGTCAGGAGAGAGGTACAACAGCATCAAGCTGCATGTCATTCAGTGGTGCTGGGGATCTTGTCAAAATTGGTGGAATTACAAACTCAGAAAGGTACTGTCAGAGTTTGACACAGCACTGAAAAAAGACAAGAAAAGCTAAAAATAAAAATAAGAGAGCTCAGACTGTGCTGAAGAATAAAAGTGGTCATAGCAAATATTGGCTTTCAAGCTTGTTAGGAACTTGGAAACATGAAAATGGCCTCATGTGGCCACTGTTTGTGCTGAGCCCTGTCCAGGGGCTGGATCACAGAAATATTTCTGTTGTTCTAACAGACCAAAGGTAAAGTTGTCTCTATTGTTTACAGTCAGGCTGAGCAACATGGCTGAGATGTGCTCATTTCCTAAATATCCCAAAAACACTCAGGTGTGGTACGTTTTTAATGTGCAGAAGGTTTTGAGCATCTGCAAAAATCTGAGACAGACAGGAGGATGCTGAAAAAAGTGAACCTTCATAATAATTATCGTTTTCGCTGATGTGAGTAGTTAACGCATGCACATTCAAGCTTCCTCAAAGAAGACGCAAAAGTAGCAAATATCAGACAGAATAATCAGCTCAATACTCGCATTAAAGGACGGAGATGAATAACACAGTGAACAGAAGAGTTAATCACACTCACATGTGTGCTGACTTTGGTGCATAATTTTGTTTTTTTCCTTCATGTCTATTTTAATGCCCTCATGTACAAGTAGTTTAAATGTTGTGACTAATCATGAGACACTGGAGAACATTAATATAGCTTTGGGATTCGACAACAGATGAATGTGATGATAGAAATTGAAGTCAGAGAGCACAGGCCAGCACAAACAAACTTTATTGAGGTTTTCTAGACAACACACAATTGTTACAAGTAGGCCTTTATATATTTCATTACTCAGCTGTCAGTGTTTCGTTATTTATGTCAGTTATTGTAAGTAATTTCCAATTGAATGCTGGGTCATACGTCATAGTGTTTTATACTATAAACACTACCAAACAGAACTGAAATGCGACCCTGTAATGCATGAAAACTGAAGTGGGGTGGCTAATAGTTCTATGATGAACTTTTGGTCTTGGTGTAGGGAACCATTTATATTTTAGGGGGTGCGCTGATTGGTTTAAATATTGATGACCTCACGAGCGCCCAGCAGCCGTTGTCCTTATTACTGTTAAATGTCCCTGCCGAGTCCCTGCCAGGCACTCGCTGATGAGGGTAAAAGCAGATTTATTGTTGGACAATTTGTGTCGGATTTGTCCGTGCAGCCTAATGAAAGTACAGAAGCGCATTTCTTGTGGCCGTAATGATGTTTCACAGAAATGTTTTATTCAGTTCTCCTGGCTAGCAAATTACACACAAAACATGCACATCTTCAACCGCTCGCTTCAGAAAGATGTGCAGCATGCTGGGTTTTTACTAATTTTCCCCACCTCGCTCTCCGTGAGTTCTAATGATATGTTGTATAATAATATAGCGCGCACGATTGAATAATTACATACACTTGCATTCCATCCTCCACATGGAAGATGGAAACGCTATTAAGTGATGTTCAGCAGAAAATTCGAGGCCTAAATATAAAGTGAGCAAACAGAAGTATGTGTAACCGAGGCCTCCGAGTGCAAATAAATAGTTGAGCTTTAAATCCAAAGGGATTTTTTCTTTTCTCAAAGTGACGGTGCTGATGGGAAGAAAGAAACAAGTCATCAGAAATAACAGCCCTAGATCCTTGGGGGATGAAAGGAAAAATGGCAACATGTATCAATGACTCTCTGGGGCACTGAACACAGAGTGTCTGAAAATAAGTACTATTAATGTCGCCTGTTAACTATTTCAGCCACCGAGTGTAGCTCGGACTGTCATACACATGATCGTATGTACACATGGGCGTAAAAGGAGCTTGAAGTATTTGATTCAGATGACATACGAGATATTTAAACATAGACATGGGAACAATCACATTTAGGTGAAACATTTCAAGATCAGCTGCTAAACAACCTTTTTGGGGAAAATATTCAACGCAGTAAAATATCAGAAACAACATTTCGAGTCATGCACCGCAGTGTTTTTAATCAAATCACAACTGAAGCTGGTGGGGATGTGATTATGGGCTTTCGAGGTATTTACTCGTCAGCTGGTCTCAGACAAAATAAAACTCCTACCTGATAACGGTGCCAGAAGAAAACGCTACTGCTCAAGTTATTATCAGCTAGAGACCATTCATATCTGAGCATTTCCTGCTAATAAAGTCAAAGTAACATTCAAGCTCAGGTTAGTGCTTGCAGAGAGACTCTTCCTCTTCCTCTGAGCACCACGAATGTCAAATTTGGGATTTTAGTGAATTTATCCAGGACATATCTCAGTCACAGCTATTTTTTTTTATTGTTTTTGTTCTTTTAATTTGAAAAATGTTTTCAAAATGTGATGTGCAAGATAGTCTGTCTGGCATTTTCTGTATGAAAGCGTTGTATGCAGTGATCATCTGTACAGTAGGAACATCACACTGCTAGGCTGTTTGCCTTCACACTTATTAGAAGAGTTTCAGTCTGTACCATGAGGGAGCCGTACTTTCACACCATGTGAAATGAGGTGTAATCGGTGTGTGATCATCGGGGCTTTCATCTGCAGTCCGATAGGCTCTTGAGGCTGATGTACATGGAGCTGACCACAGTGGCTTCTTCCTGCATGGACTCCTTCAGGTCAGGCTGACCTACACAAAGCAGGCTGACCACCCTTTTGGGTAGCTTTCCGCTAAACAGCATGTAGATGCAGGGGTTCACACAGCTGTTTAAACTGGCAAGCAGCATCAAGATGGTGAAGGTTGCACCTGGAGATAGATGAGGAGGACATGAGAGTCACTTTATTTGGGCTTGGTTACCTCTTACAGATTTGTGGCTATTTTAAGTTATCTGTTGATGCTATGCGAAATTAAGGACCATTAACCTTTGACCTAACCTAAGGTCTGCCGATTACAGTGACTTCATTCAAGTGGAGAGGGTATCCTTCCCGTAATTTCACTTTTAAATTACACTTTCATTGTAATACTAAGAGATTTTAAGGTGTAGATGTTAGAAATAATGTAATTTACTGGATGTATTAAGTGTAACGGGATTGTATAAGTGGAATGATTCTGGTCTGCAGAATGTGAGCGGTCGAAATGAGTTCAAAGCAATTGTGCAGAAAATTCTAGTTTCCTCCTCTATTGTTTTCCTGAGCACGATGGCGCTTGTAGCCAGTTAAACTTGCAGTAATAACAATTTTTTTTTGCTTTCCAGTGACTTTTATGTCAGACTGTGCCCTTTTTGCGTGATGTGGGATCACTGTCTTCTTACTCTGTGTGGGTGCCTCGTCGTCCCAGACAGACCAAAGCTGCACGGTGAAGAAAGGTGTCCAGCAGAGGATGTAAGCGAGCACAATGACCACGGTCATCTTCACCGTCTTCACCCTGGCCTTGGACACTCCTGCCACGCTGCTGGCCCTCGATGACGGAGGCTTGCTGACCGCTTCCCCGACGTGGTGCGTCTTCATGTGGAAGTTTAGCTGCACTGCGCGGCAGATGCGCACCTGGCACACGATCACGGTGAGAATTGGCAGGACGAATATCACCAAAGTCGTCCAGGTTACGTAGGCTCTCCGTCCCCACGGCTCGATGAACTGCGCCCAACAATCGTACACGCCGGGAGCGACCTCGACCCGAGAGAAGATGAAGACCTGCGGGAGGCTGCAGAGGACGGAGACGCACCAGGCTGCGCACACCGGACCGTTCCAGCGCGCCATGCGCCTCTGGAAAGTTACCATGGGATTGCAGATGGCTTGGTACCGATCTATAGTCATCACTACGATCATGTACGTGGAGGCGAACATCCCGACCACCTGCAGGTACTTTACCGCCCGACACAACACATCTGGACCGATGAACCTGTCGGTGATGTCCCAGATGAGTTGGGGGCAGACTTGGAAAAATGTGACCACCAAGTCAGCGACGCACAGGTGGAAAACGAAGACGCGCATTCTGGAGAGCGGCTTCCTGCGCTTCCACAACACCAGCAAGATCCCAAAGTTTAGGATCCCCGCTGTGATGAAGATGATGGCGAGAAGGGCGATTTCCACCTGCGCCAAGCGCTCATCCCGAGGATCGTCACCAACCGGTGCACTCTCCGAAGAGACGTTACTGATATTTACACCGATCCAAGCCATGCCTTCAACCCAAGCGCAGCACAGATGGGATTAAATAACCACTCCAGGTGAATCCAGCGGCAGAGGCGCCATGTGAACGATACAGAAAACTCTTGGCGATTTCATCAAAATGTAAAAACGACGGCGGGAGGGACACGGGCTGAACAACTGTTGAGCTTCTTCATACACAGAGAGCGGTAGTAAAGGAGATCAGCGG